ACACACACACACACACACACACACACACACACACACACACACACGCGCGCGCGCGCGCGCACACACAACTGACTTGAAGGTGGTGTTAATGTGCGTCGTGTTGACTGCAAAGGAGGGTGCTAGGGTGTCTGGGACGTAGACAACCGAACCTGCAGCGTCAAGGGACGCAAACACAACGCACAACGTCGCCACAACCACTGCCACCTTCGTCATCATCATCGTTGTTTGTTTTCTCTCTCTCAGGAAGGACTGACGGTTACAATGTCGGCTACTGTTGGTGTGTTGGGGTGTGGGCTTCTGGAGCACGGCAGACTACGCGTGTTGCAAGGCTCCTTGGATGCAGTGGACGTGGACAAGGTGTGTATGCTGTGGTGTGTGGTGTGTGTGTGTGTGTGCGTGTGTGTGTGTGTCTGTGTGTCTGTGTGTGTCTGTGTGTCTGTGTGTGTCTGTGCGGTGTGTGTTTGTGTTTGTCTGCGTCCGTCTGTCCGTCTGTCCGTCTGTCCGTCTGTCCGTCTGTCTGTCCGTCTGTCCGTCTGTCCGTCTGTCCGTCTGTCCGTCTGTCCGTCTGTCTGTCTGTCTGCCTTCGATTCTGTGCCCATTCCTCCCCCCCCCCTTACCTCTGCGCACCTTGCCAGTGCCGTCAATCGACATGTGCACGGTTGATACACGCACTGCACGCAGCTCTCCTCAATCCCAGTGCATTCGCCTGCTCCCCCTCTTGCTTCCATGTAGGCTGCGCTTGACCTGTACAGCACGCTGCTGGATCGCCCAGATGTCTCCTCGTTTGAGACACGCGGCACCAAGCTCATGATCGTTCGCCGCGACGTGGACCAGTGAGTGACCTTGCGGCGTTGCAAGGGGGAGAGAGACACGGCAACTGGTCATGTGGCTGCATGCGTGCATGCTTCCGTCCGTGCTGTGCTGGTGTGGTAGCGTTGTGAGTGCGGGTGTTGTGTTGGGCTGGATTGTGTTGGATTGTGTTGTGTTGTCGTGTTGTCGCGCATGCTGGCAGGACTGCAATGAGGACAGGCTTCCACGCAGCCAACAGCGTCACTCATTCCCACACACCCACACTATCACACCCACACTCACGCACTCGTACCACAGGATGGTGGCAATGGGTCGCGCTCGCAAGCTTGGCCTTGTTCTTCGGCGCACGGAGCTAGGCGTGAGTATGCAGTCCCATCAACAAGCTCACAAGCACATACACAACCATTTCCTGTGCATGTGTATGTGTATGCGTGTGTGTGCATGTGTGTGTATGTGTGTGTGCATGTGTGTGTATGTGTGTGTGAGTCTGTGTGAGTGAGTGAGAGAGAGAGCGTGTGTTTGATACACTGGGTACTTAAAGCCAGCGCGCTTCGTGTGCTATCTTGCTTGCTGTTGCACGGCTCACAAGCAAAGAAGCAACACCGCCAACGCACAAACAAATATGCATACATAGTGCATCGTTGTGTGTGTGTGTGTATGGCGTGCGTGGCGCATGCTGTCGTGCTGCTGTCCTCTTTGCTCGCTGTTCGCTGTACTTCTCGTATCTCCTCTCCTGCATCTCAGCCACACATACACACACACACATGTGCATGTAGTCTAGTTACATGCGCCCCTTGCTTGCATGAAGTTGGGTGTCGCTGTTGTTGGCCGTCTCACATCCTCGCACTCGTGAACATGCGTTTCGTCATTCCTTTGTTGACTTGGGCCCCCCCCCCCTTTCTCCCACTATTCCTCATCAAGTCTCACCATACGCGTCCCCCCACATGCTGCCTGCTTGCTGGCATTATTTCGATTACTCCACGGCAGGTGCTGTTGGTGCTGTTCCAGCACCCATGCACGGGCCAGGACGCGGTCGCTTTTGCATCACACATTTCGCTCCACCCTGGCGCGTGACACGGGGTGATTTTGTGTGTTTGCGTGTGTGTGTGTGTGTGTGTGTGTGTGTGTGTGTGTGTCTGTGTGTGTGTGTGTCTGTGTGTGTGTGTGTGCATTGCACTGCTCTATCTCTCTGTTGAATGTTACTTGTGTCTTATCACTTTCAGTCAGGCTCGAACTGACTCTAGTCATAGTTTTATCCCTCCAACAAGCAGACTCAAATGCGCTGTCACACTGCTGTACTGAATTTAAGACTGCCCTGTATTGAACTGAACCTCCGAACACACCCTGGCGTAAACCAACAGCCATGCCAACATGCCAACGTGAGGCATCACACGCGTATTCGAGAGCACATCACGCCAGTGTCAGCACGAGCCATTCCGTCCACCACCTCTGCCTCATCGTCATCATCATCGTGATCACGATGGTGCATTGTGGCATATGTGCAGCATCTGCTCTGCATCTGTGCACTTCTCTGCCGGTTTTCCCAATTGCTTCCCCTAAACACGTGTGTGTGTGTGTGTGTGCGTGTGCGTGCGTGTGTGCGTGTGTGTGTGTGTGAGTGTGTGTGTTTGTGTGCGCAAGTGTGCGTAAGTGTGTGTGACTGCAAGCGTGTGTATGTATGTGTGTGTGTGTTTGTGCGCCCCATAGGTTGTTGTCATGGATGTGAGAATGCGCCTTCATTGCGGCAATGCCTGTTGTCAGCTCACCTGCTGTCGTTCCCACGCCTCAAGCTTCTTCCACTGCTCAAATGACACAGCCTGCGACAGCACAAGGAACACGCCAACATGAGTGCCAAGCAACAACACAAACGCACACACGCGAGCCAAGACAATCAAGAGTGCGCACACGCATGGGCAGACAAAGCGTATGCGCGCACCTGGGGTGCTATCCTGTTCACGAGCTGTTCGCGCTTATCATCCCGATCATCACCACCATCACCACTACCAGCAGCAGCAGTAGGACCGGCAGCATTGGCGTCTGAAAAGTCGTCGGCGATGGCGCGTGCTGTGTTGTTTGCGTCGACCATGGTGGTGGCGATGATGCCTGCGGGCCCGTTCTTGATCCATCCGCTGCAGTACACGCCATCCAGCCCACTCACCCGCCCTGCAGTAGTGGGTTGACGAACGAACAAGTCAGAACACGGCATTCAGTGATGTGACATGGGTGCAGAGTGCTTCACACATACACACACATACACACATACATACATGCACATACACACATACACACACGCACACGCTTACAGGCGCCATGTCTTTTCCCAAACGCACCGACGCCGTCGTGGCGAATGACGTTTCGTGTCGGGTCGTACGGGAGTGCGGGATCGATGCTGTGGCCCTGATATCCGATGCTCTTGATCACCAGATCCGCAGGCAGCGTCCTGGCACGTGATGTGATGTGATGTGATGTGATGTGATGTGATGTGATGTGATGTGTGTGGTGGTGGTGACGCAGTGGTGATGTGTTTGGGAGAGGGGAGTTGGCAAAGAAGAATGCACGAGCGGCAGAACATATAAAGGATTGTACGGCAAAGCTTGCAAACACACACACACACGCACACACACACACACACACACACACACGCACACACACACACACACACACACACGCACTCACACACACACACACAACACACATACACACACACACACACAAGCCAAACCCCCTCCCTCCCTCCCTTGCATCGCAGTGCACACCTCTCCTGGCCGGTGGGGACTGCGCGGCGCCGTCCAATATCGCCCTCAAGTTTCATCACGTTGAACACAACTTCCCCGACGCGCCCGCCCTGACCCGAACCAACCACCACCAGCAGCGCGCACATGTAGGGTGAGAGATGGGGAAGGGGATGTGTGTGGGCGTGTTTGCAGTGTACATGTGTGTGCAGTGTGTGGAGCCGGAGAGAATGCGGAGGTGACACAACACACACACACACACAACAACAACAACAACAGCACACACAACAACACACACACATAAACAACACACACACACATGTGCGCACACACACACATAAACAAGCAAACACACATTGCATTACGCTTCACTCACGTTGTCTGTGCTCTCCCTAAATTCCTTTGGCGAGAGGAAGAATTGGATATCGCAGTGCTTCACTCCGTCTGCAGGCGAAAATCGCGTCGGATTTCAGCAGGGGTCCACACATACAACACGTGGAAGCCTTAGCAAACGACACATTATGCACACACACACATATACGCTCACACACACATTCACACACATACCCTCACATTCACACACTCACACCTGCGTGTGTGTCTGGGGCAACTGCGACGTCGGCGAGCAGTTTCATCATGCGCGTGATGCGTCGCGTGGCCTTGATGTAATCGCGCTCATCCTGACAGGGCACAAGGGGGGAGTGCGTTCGGTTGTTGATGCACAGATGAACAAACAAAGAAAGTGTATGTGTATGTGTGTGGGTGTGTGTACTGTTATGTGTGCAGGTCTCACTCACGTCAAAGTAGCAGTAGGTGTTCGCACATGACACATACACACACACATACGAATGGTAACAAGACAGTGCACACTTCTGTTGACGCACCTGCGTAAAGTCGACGTGGTGTTTGTCCACGTGGCACGCAACGCCGCTCAGTTTGGTCAATTCGCGCAATTCTTTGATGGTGAACGCAGCCTGCACAATACCAAGCACGCACAGTAGTTGCGTGCGGTGAGGCTGACAACAGTACATATACACACGCACACATACACACACAAACACACATACACACACACACACCTCGCACCAACCCCTCACCAATTCCTTGCCCCCCCCCCCATTTCCAAACAATACCTCGATGGGCCCGCGCCTGCCGACGACAGACACGCGCTGGATTCCGCTGCTGTGGAGATGTTGCAACGCCGTCTCTGTGATGTCGGTCTTGCGCAGATATGATGGGTCGGCCAGGAGCATGCGAGCACAGTCAAGTGCCACGTTGCCCTGATGTGACCGTGCAGCACATGCACAAGGGCGGGAATGAAGCAGAGAGCAGAGAGCAGAGAGCAGAGAGCAGAGCAGAGAGAAGAGAGCAGAAAGCGGAGAGAAGAGAGAACGTAAAGGTGGACAGGGGGCGGAGAGTCGAATGAGTGTGTTGTGGCGTAGTTGTGAGCGCAGCATGGGACACACGTGGGACGGACAAGACCACATGTCACAGCACATTAGGGATGCACAAAACGATAACAACACCACAACACAACCAGAGAGCGAGGGCCACAGAAGAGACAGCAGTGAACAAACACATGGCTTACACCTCACACCTGTCCCACGATGACGACGTTCTTGCCGTGAAGGTCAGCCGGCAGCTGCTGGTGCTCGGGGTGCCCGTTGTACCAGCCAACAAACTCGCGGGCGGATATGACGTTGCCCAAGTCCTCGCCTGGCACCCCCAGCCGGCGCTCCCGAATGGTTCCATATGACAACACAACCGCATCATACGCCTCACGCAGCTCCTCCAGCTGTCAACAGCAACGTCAGTAACAACAGCGGTGCCGGTGTAAGCAAGTGCAGCCAACACATGTTTGTTGTTCGTGTATGTGTATGTTGGGCGACGGGTTGAGTGAGGAAAGCCAGGAATGTGTGCTTACATGTGCTTGCACAACCCCTCAAGAAGGGTTGAGAGTGCACTCAATAAACCACACACGTGCGACGTGCACTCAAGCACACACACACGCACACATGCGCGCACGCACGCACAGACCTTGACGCTTTGCTGCCCGGGCAGTGTGTCTCCGACAGGGACGTTGCCGAAGAAACGAAACGCTGGGTTCTCAGCCACTGCCTCAAACTGGGCAATGCAGTTCTTCACCTATATGTACGAATGTGCGCGAGTGTTTGAATGTGAGTGAGCTTGGGGTGCGACAGCTTGATTGCTTGGCAGAGTGCGGAGCAGGTTCCAACACCACACATATGCGCACACACCTCTGGGTGGTCTGGGGCGACGCCATAGCGGACGAGGCCATATGGCGCAGGAAGTCGCTCAAACATGTCCAATTGCTGCAGTGACCCGCCCAAGTACTGACAAGCACACGCACACACACTCCACGTGAGCAAGTGCACACACATTGAGTCTCTGCAAACACACTCCACGTGAGCAAGTGCATACACGCGTGTCTCTGCACACACACACACACACACACACACACACACACACACACACACACACACACACACACACACACACACACACACACACACCTTGAGCAAGTACTGTGCCGTGTAGAAGCCTGAGGGGCCACCACCGACGACGGCAATCTGCCGCGCGCCGCGCCGAAGCAAGCCAGCCATGTGTGTGCAGTGCACGTCCTTCCTCGCTCGCTTTCCTTGCTTCTTGTTCCTTGCTGAGAATTGCACCACGAATTGACGACTTTCAAGGCAGCACTCCTCCCTCTGACGGTGCGTTTTGCTTGCGTGTATGTGTGTCGTTTGCTGTTGTTTGCTTCGTGTCCAACCATGTCACACTTGTCTGTCATGTCAGTCACAATCGTCGTGCATGCACACGTGTATGTGGTTGTATGTACAAAAGGGAAACAGAGGAGATGTACGTAAGCTGAACGACACTGCGACCGCCATCGTAAGAGAGGGATACAAGCTGCCGTGAACTCAAGGAAGACAGAATAAGAAATAAAATCAAGCCAGATGCAGAAGCAGGAGCACAAAGCGAATAAGCACAAAGAGTGAACCGAGACACACGCAAGTGTGTATGTGTGTCATCTAACGTCTTAACGTCTTAACAATGAAGCTGGGCAGATACAACGTGCTCTGCTTGCTCGCACGCTGACTTGCGATACAATCTCAAAGCAAAAGAAGAACAACCGCAAGCATAGCATTTCTTGTGCGCAGTTCAGCACTGCGATGTTGTGACATTCATCACACCCTCGTCACCCCTGTTGCTGTTGCTGTTGTTTGTCGCGTTGACGACGGCAGTGAACATGTGTGGTGGAAGCATCTGCTTGAAGCGGCTCACCAAGTCCTCCAACTCGTCCACGCGCGTCTGCAACTGCTGCTTCTCCTGCTCCTTCTGCGCCACGCGCTCTTGCAGCTCATCAATCTGGTTGCGTGGTTTGCACGTTGCGCAATGGGGTGGCAGTTCGTGAGTGATGTGACGCGGGTTTTGTGTGATGGCGGAGATGGCTCACCATGTGCTGCCGAACAATGAAAGTACAACACTGACGATGCGTGCATGTGTATGACGCACACACACACACACACATACGACACACACACACACACACACACACACACACACACACACACACACACATAAGACACACGTGGTGCAGTCCTCGGGAGATACTGACCAGCTGACGGCGCTGACGTCTGTACGACTTCATGTATTCGCGACGATCGCGCACGCGCGTCTTGGGCTTATCCTGGCTCGCCTGCTGCCGGGCCTGGTCACACATGGTGCATGAGGAAGAGGCAAAGTGAGCTCGCTGCAACGTGCACACGTTGTGCCAGACACACAAAACACTCACACACACATACACTCACACACACTCACACGCACACACACACACACATTCACACACACACACACACACACACACACACACACACACACAAGCACACACACGCACGCATGCTCACACGCAAAGAGATCACTCACCCTCTTTGTGGTGCCCTTGGTGGGCTTGCGAACAGCGCTTGCACCCTGTCAACATTGGCAACACAAGCAGACAGGAGAAAAACATGCAAATCAGTTCACGCAGTCACTCACACGCACGTACATACACAAACACATACACACCCGCTCTCCACCAGACAAAGCGCAACCCAATGTAACGCAAACCAACATGAACACGCACCTTGTTTGGCATGTTTGCCCCGCTGTCCTGCTCCCCACCCTTCTTCTTCAGCTGCGTGGCCTTCTTCTTGCTTCCGCCTTTGTTGTTCTTGGCACCAGTGCTGTTGTTGCTGCTGCTGCTGCCGTTGCCGCTCCGAACATTAAGCTGAGGCAGTCCTTGCTGCTGCTGCTGCTGCTGCTGCTGCTGCTGTTGCTGCTGCTGTGGGTGAGGAGGGGGAGGAAGTGCCGTCGACGTTGGCATGTTAAGCAGGAGGTGATCAAGCGCGTCTGGCATCGCATCAACACGTTGCTGCTGCTGCTGCTGCTGCTGCTGCGTGGTGACGCCTTGGCGATGGTGGCGGCGGCGCTCCCACAACCGCGGCTGCTGCACAACGTGCCCCGTCCTCTGCTGCTGGTGGTGCTGCTGTTGCTGCATGCCGACGGCTGCGCCGTGCGGGTTGTGCGTGCTGCTCAGCTGCATTTGCAGCGTGCTGTGCTGCGGCTGTGTATGCGCGTGCGTCGGCTGCGTCATGGGTGGGAGCGAGTTGGCGTCCTCTGCCAAGGCGGCAGCGAGGCCGGGCGAGTGCATGCTGAACATATCTGTAAACAGGTCGTTGCTCACGTCCAGAGGGATGGACGCCATATGGGGGTCCTCAAGATCAAACTGCATGTCCATCATCGGTGGCTGCTGAGACAACACCTCGGCATGGTGCGGAACAGCAAGTGCTTGCTGCTGCTGCTGTTGCTGGTGCTCGTGCTGCTGGTGCTCGTGATATTGGTGCTGATGCGACTGGTGGCTGTACTCATGCGGCTGCTGGTGATAGTGCTGGTCGTGAGCAACGCCGCTGTCAACGCGATCCATGCCCATATCCGCCACGCCGTCATGCTCGCCCACGTGCAGTGGAACAACCGCAGGCTGCACCACCAGAGACGCGCGGCTGCCGTGGCCGTGGCTGCTGTTGCTGCGGGTGAGGGAGGTGAGGTCCTCTGACGATGAACGGGGCGACGCGCCGCTGCTGTCGCCGTTCGACGAGTGGCTGTTGCTGATGTCATTGTGCGGCGGCGAGTTGAACTGCATGGAGGGCGAGGTGTAGTGCGTGCCGTGGGGCGCATACATGGTGGCTGCGTCGCCAAAGGGCGGGTTGGCGTTGCTGCCCACCAGGTCGTCCAGCGTGTGCATGGGGAGCATGGCGGTGTTGCCACCAAACCCATCATCGCCACGGTGCTGCTGGTGCGGATCTTGGTGGTTGGACGCGCTGCCGTTGCTCACCTGCGCGCCCAACTGCAGCACGCTCACCCCGCCACTGTGACCACGCGACGACGACGACGACGACGATTGCGTCGCCGACAAGAAGAAGCTGCGACCGCCGCTGCTGTGCGACCTGAACACGCCGCCCATCATCAGCACCGCAGTCACCAGCGCAACACCGCCAACCACACTGCCCAGCACAATAATCACCAGGTGCGGGGTGTCCAGCTTGCCGGCACCTTTGGTCGGCGGATACACGGTCGAGCAGTCACCACGCGTCTCGCAATCGCCATCGGAGGGCGCAATGAGCGGGCGCGCGACAACGAGCCCGTCACCATCAAGACGGATGGCAATGCCGGGGTCCTCGGCCATGTCGAACAGGTGCTGGAGTGCAGCGGTGCCGTTGATGGATAGCTCGACCTTCACGCCGGCAGTGTCCCTGTCCCCGACATATGTGGTGACGCTGTGGCCCTTGAGCACAGAGGAAGACACGGACGCGGCGGCGAGGACGGCGTGGACGAGGGCCTCAGATGCACGCGCAGATGACGCAATCTCCTCATGGAAGGGTGTCGGGAACCAGCATGCAAACGTGCCCATGGCCAGGTCACCCCACGGCGATGGAATGTCGCCGTTGATGTCATTCGTATCGTCAGCGCCAGTCGGTGCCACATCCTCGCTGTTGGTTGACACGGCTGTGGCTGCTGTTGATGCTGCGTCGGCTGTGCTCTGGGCCTGTGAGCGGGTCAGGAAGTCTGCGGGTGTGGGCAGGAGGGAGGCGTGTGCGATGCTGT